TCTTTTTCTATAATAGCAGAATATGACAACAGGAAGCATCCAAAATTCATTCAATTTTTCACAGACTAAGCCTAAGAGGTACTTATAAAATCTCTTATGACCACAATAACCGGAAACCAACAATCGGGAAGTGATAAAAGCTCATCAAAACAGTTGATTCCATAACATGAACATAAAAATTAATCCCATCTATTAAAACTAGCGTCAACAGCAACTGAAATATCATATTAAATATAGATGTTCAAGGATGTCAAGTACATACTTCCTTTATATTTACAATTTCAACGTGAAAAATCTACCTGGATGTTTATAGATCCCGCGGTGTAATATTTCTGTTAGACGACGAAAGACATCTTTCGACTCGTTTTTTGCTCATAATGTCGTTTGTTCGACACCCCTCAACTTGAATCAATAGGACATTGGGTGTATAGTTTTTTTAATCCAATTACAATAAATGTTTTTTCGCTTCGGACAAGGTTTTTTTTAGCTTCAATGTACAAAATCCTTCAACTTTGACAGCTTGGCAATCAGGCACTCTGGAAGAGTGGAGAGAATTTTATACCAACATGATTCTTCATCCCATTTAAAATTTTTTTTTGGAGACAGCGCCTATCCTGTTCAAAAAATAAGCAGAACCTTGTAGATTCCACGAATTAGGGACTTTTCAGTTGAATAACAGACTGTTTCTATTTTAATTCCTGTATATACTCTATATGAAGTGACCGCATTAATAACATCACATTAACTGATATATTAATATTTATATGCTAGTTTTACCTTTACGATTACCGATGCGTGCAAGAAAATAATTGTTTAAAAATGGCCTGTTCAAACAGTTTATTGAGTTAAATGGCGCATACGGTAGATTTTCCCTTGAATTTAATAGGCATATAATATGTACGCTTGACATATTTTTTGCTAAAACGTGATTTTAGGAGGTGTATCCATGCTATTGTCAGATGAAGTCAGACAATGCCATGTTATGGTGGTACTAGCGCGACAGTTGAGATAAAATTTCTGCTATACCGCGGGCCTTACCCCCACTCACAATACGCCTAGTAGCAAAGAAATCGAACTATTGTCCATTAGCTTGGACTCATTAGTCGTCTTGCTAAGTATTTTAAAAACTGAACATATTATTGTCTTGCATCTGATGTAACCTGAGCTTTTGCCATTAAACCCAGAATCCCTAGCGATGCTCACAGGCCGGTTCCTTAATGGACAGTCTCTAGGTTTTGTCACATCGGAAGGCACACTTCTACCGATATAACAAACACTTTGTTGCTGAGTTATCAATCATATCTTTCTGGGTAGCGAGAACAATTTGCGAGAAGATGCTTTTCCCGTTTTTGCCAACCTTAATCAGTTCAAAAGTCAGACTAACAAAACGTCATTAATTGATCTCTCTCTCTTTCTCTGGGCTGATGACCACCGGCAAGGCACGAACACCACGCGATGAAATAACTTGACCTTGACATATAAGAATGCCGAAGACGGAGTTCGAATCGCCGGTCTGACGGCAGAGGAACTGCCAATCCTTATAGTCACGCTTCAAAATCTAGATTTCGGTCAACATTTTTCGGTATGGCAATTGAAACATCTTGAATTTTCATTAGTGGAATTCCAATGAATATGGCACTCTGCATTGGTCTGCTTTCATTCACCATTTCACTCGTACTTAAAGACAACTGATAAGCATTCCCAGTAGTTTCATATTTTCAACCATCCATTCGAGCATCTATCGTACAGCTCATTGAGTCGCTGATTCACTGGACGACACATTTTAGTTTTTTAATTGTATCTTGTGGGAAAAGTGCACTTCTTTGTTAATTTTGGAGCGCTGAATCCAAAAATGACAATGAAATAAAAAAATTAGTTGCGGTTTAGAAAAAAAACTTTTTATTTTTAAGGATATATTAAAAAAAGCAACAAGATTCATATACTTATAAGAATCACTATATGCGCTGTCTTTTTGCTGTTCTTTCATGGATCGTTTCTGGAGCATCTCTACCAAGAGGCCAACAGTAGTCTGCAAGCATGGAAGGATTCCACTTTCCCTGGTACCTTTTTCCATTGTTGAAATATCCTGATGAAAACGTTCGCCGTGCTCATCACTTACGGCTCCGCAATTGTCAGGAAAAAAGTCCAGGTGTGAATGTAGGAAATGTATCTTAAGAGACATATTACAGCCCATCTTTTGATACGATGACAGCATATTTTTGACAAGGGTTTTATAGTTGTCAGCTTTTCTATTTCCCAAGAAATTAGTGACCACCAGACGGAAATCATTCCAAGCAGTTTTTTCAATACCTGTTAAAGTGTTTTCAAACTGTGTATCTTTCAAAATATTTCGAATCTGTGGCCCAACAAAAATACCTTCTTTAACCTTTGCCTCACTTAGTCTTGGAAATTTCTGACGCAGGTATTGAAAAGCTGACCCATCTCTATCTAATGCCTTGAGAAAGTTTTTCATTAGGCCCAACTTGATATGCAGTGGTGGTAATAAAATTTTTTTCGAATCTACTAATGGCATAATATGCTGTACATTTTTTTGACCTGGCTCTAGGAATTGACGAACAGGCTAGTTTTGTCTGGTGTAATGAAGTGCCTTCGCCCGACTGTCCCATTCACACAAAAAACAGCAAAACTTTGTGTAGCCTAGCTGCAGCCCAAGTAAAAGTGCAACACCTTTCAAATCGCCACAAATATGCCATTGGTGCTCATCGTATTTTATGCATGTCAATAGGTACTTCATATTGTCATATGATTCTTTCATGTGAACTGCATACCCTACAGGAAGAGATGGTAAAATATTTCCAATATGCAATAACACTGCCTTTAAACTCAATGTTGAACTGTCTATAAACAATCTCCATTCTTCTGGGTTATAGTTTATATTTAAAGCCGCCAGTAAGCCGTTAATGTTACTGCAGAAAACCAAGTTATTCTCCATATTGAAAAATCGTTCTAAGTCTTTGTGGCGTTTACGAAAAACACATACCGAAACATCGTCTTCTAACAAGTTCCACTGCTGCAGTCTTGATCCAAGTAACTCTGCCTTACATTTTGGAAATTCTGAATCTCTTACAAGATCACTTAATTCTGACTGTGTTATTTTGTGCGGTTGGTGGCATGACGTGCTCGGTATAAAATCAGGATCTCTTGACGTTGATGGCATACCTTCTTCCTGACGAATCACTCGATCGCCATGATCTGATTCGTTTTCTGATTCGCAAGTGTAGGATTCTGTGGGTTTTGGAATAGGATTTTCGTCACTGTGAGGCACAGGTCTCATCGCAGATGGTATGTTTGGGTAGTTAATAACCGATTTTTTTTTTCTTGGACATACCTGTGGCTTGTCCAACACAAGGTACCATGCAAAATTAACAGTCATTAATATGATTTGTAGGCTCTCTCCAAACCACTGGGACAGCAAAGCGCATAGACCGTTTTTTGCCATTTAACCAGCTCCTCAGACTTGAAGCACGTGTATTACAGCAGATGTGGGGTGCCCACTGTTTGTCTTGATCACCTAGTTTACAACCGAAATAAAGCTGATATGCCTTTGTTATTAGTGGAGTAATAGACCGTCTCTGAGACGCAAAAGTCACATCACCACACACGTAACAAAACTGATCTGGATTGTTTACACACAATCATGCCGATTACATCATCTTTCCTTGCCGAACATAAAAATGTAGCACGTGCATTCTTGTGAATTACAGTATATTAACACTGTCACAGCAGGAACACATATAATTACTGTATCTCTAAAACTTGAACTAATATTGAAAAAATAAGTTTCATTCCGGTTTTAGCACATTAAAAATAGTGATATTTTGTTGATTTTATTTAGGATATTTTTTGGCTGTTGATCAGTGTTATGAATCATAAGTCACTTCAAAATGACCTTCAACTGACCCCATAGAGTACAAAAACCGCGATGGTCGATGACTAGAGATGATTCTTGTGATTTTCCAGAATTTGGCGTCAAAACAAACATGAGTACTCGAGTTACTTCAACTAGCTTGTCGTCACCTGCACAGGGATTCGTGGTCCGCTGGCCAATGGGAGAACGCGAATTTAAGCGTTGCACGCTGGTGTTTGTTTTGATGAGGTGTAAATGTCTTTGAATAAACTGTAAGGAACCTTTGGTTCGAACTCGGCGAGTTAAAAGACTGTGTATTTTAGAATCAACTTTGATTTCAGCTATGAAAATGCAGATGAGCTATGTTTTGTCTAAAAATGAAGGTTGTCGTTAACATCCTATATACCTTTCGCGCTTTTTCTTAACAAAAATTTTGTTGAAAATGACAAACTGTTAGAATTTCGCATTCCAAAGGGGCATCTTAAAAATGATTTTCGATAAGTTCACAATTTGTGAGCATTAATTCAGTATATACAGTGAGGAACTTGCCTTAATGAGCCGTATTCATAAAACAAAGGATATCCTTGTAGTTGCAAATTTTGAAGGAAATCCTCCAGATGGTATTTATAATAAATTGAAGGAAATACTTTTGCTTTTTGAGTATAAGCATATTCTTCAAAGCAGTGACATAAGTAAAAGGATATTCATAATCTTCGCCTTATACCTACTTGGCATAGCAAGCATATCCTTCAAAAATTCTGAGTGTGGTCAGTAGCAGACTCAACTTCGTAACGGAAGGTGGTCAGACGATGATGGCGGAAATTGTGGATGTTAGGGATGTTAAAACGTATAAGACACGTTTGTTTACCTTCACTTGGTTGTGACTTGAACTGTACCGGTTCGACGAAGCAAATGTACAATGGCTTGCGGACAGATTTTTAGTTGAGAATAAGGAAACTCGAGGAGGAGCACTTTCATGTATTCATAAAATGAAGATATGTCTACGCTATCTCGGTGACCCTGGATATCAACAAGGTATTGGTCAGGAACTTGGTGTTAGTCAAGCAACGGTATCTCGGACTGTGGATAGAGTTGTGAACAGCATAGTTGCACTGTCGAATGGATTGGAAGCATGTATAAATTTCCAACAGCAACTGGTGTAATTGATTGTACACATATAGGAATCCTGAAACCAAATCGCCATGGAGATGTGTATATCAACAGAAAAGGGAAACCTACTTTAAATGTGCAAGCCACTTGTGATGCTAGAGAGATGTTCACAAGTATTGATGTCAGCTGGCTTGGAACAGTGCATCATTCCAGAATATGGAGAAATTCACAGACTAGATCACATCTAATAAATAAAGCAAATGTTGTACTACTTGGCGAAGACGGTAATGGCATTGAGCCATTCCCTTCAGAAATCCTACTCCAGGTGCAGAAATAAATTATAATAAGCTTTTAAAACAAGAAAGAGTTATAAATGAACGCTGTTTCGGCCTGAAACGCCTGTTTCCTATCCAACAGTATGTTTGCCGCGTAAAGTTGGAAAATGTGCCGAAAATAATTATTGCTTGTATTGCACTCCATAATGTTGCGAAGAGCTTGGGCGATCCTGACTTTGAGTTAGTTGAACAAGACCCAGATGAAGATGAAGGAAATCATGAGAATGATGAACTTCCACTCCGCCAACTAGGTCAACAGATAAGAAGAAACTTGATTATTATAATAAGTTTTATTTTCGTGAACATTATAAGTTACAGGTGGCTTCTGACGCTACATCATTTTTAATTTCGTTTTATAATACTCTTGTTGTAAAATACTTGTTTGGTACTGCTGTAATAGCACTAGACGCTGCAGTTCTTTTTTAGTTAATCCTTTGGTTTCCTCAGTTTCGTATTCCTCTGTTGCTAATTTTCTTTTTGGTGGCAATGTCTTCTGAACTGCTGGCGCTGTAATACTAACTGTTTGCTCACTGCGCTCGGTATATAGATCACTTCCTTCTTCTTGAACACTACCAACCTGAATGGCACCTCTAACTTTCTTTCAGCATCTTTCTTTCCCAATCTAACAATTTAATTGCTTTAATACCAGTTTTCTTAGATCAGTTTTTTCTTCAATGTTGATTTCATGTTTTTTTAATAAGCCTTTAGTATCTAATGGTTTACCGAATGTTGATTAATATTTTTTCAACATCTTCTTCAAGGCAACGTCATTTCTCATTTTTATTTTTGGAACTTGTGACTTTTGAAAAATGACGGGAGGCAATTTCATCTGCGATGAACTGCAGGTCGTTCCCATTATTTTCTATAACTTCCTCATCACTTGAGGATGACCTGCTTATTAATTTGATAAAAAACTGTATCCAGTACAAATACGAAACGGTCTGTGTAAGCTCTGGAGTACAACTGTCAGTGATGCTGAGTGAACGAACTCCCACGTCAACTAAAAGCTGGAACAAGTCAGGACATGTCACTCAAGATACAAATACCAGTCAACCCTTTACTTCTTCTTGGAGGATATCCTCGCGAGTATAGGGTAATCATTATGAATATGAAAACAAGAATATGCTTATACTTCTACCTTTTTCTCCGAAGCAAGACCTTATACTGTTACCTTATGCTTCCGAGGATATGCTTCTCTTTCATGAATAAGTCTCAATAATTATATTAGATATCGGTTCTCTATAGACATCTTTTCGTTTTTGTATTGCTTGTAATAGAAGAATGCCCAGTTGTGAAGTTTCCTAACCTGTATAGGTGATATTATTTGGACAGTTATTAACATATTTTTCTGCACATTTCTATTTGTTTAGTTCACAAGCACACCAAGAGAAACCGAGAAAATCATCACTACACTCAAATCTTACACCTATCAAAAACATGAAATCATTAAAAACTGATAAACAGCCACTATAGGGAAGGCCATCTGCCGGAAATTCTATTCAAATGGCAGCCCCACTTAAAAGTTGGATTCGTCATGAATTTAAACATCCTATTGTCAATAACGTGGAAAATGAAAACGTAAAATCGATAAAATCATGACAGCCACTCCACATAAACGATATCAGGTAGCATTGATTTTACAATAATAAGATCTAGGTTTACATTATGACGTAGTGAGACTATTTAATAACAATGAAATCCAATGTTGTTGTATTTACAGGTACTTGATGATGTCTGAATATCTGATCCGATTCAAAATGCATTATTTACGAATCTAACCACATTTATTACAGATTTTATCAAGCAAAAAATTAGTGGAGTTTTAGTGGAGTGCATTAAAAAAATTACCCAAGGGTTTTGGGCGCTTTTGATAATTTTTTAGCGGTTATTCAGGTTTATAATAGAGAAACGGATAGAGCTCATCAAACTAAACAAAAAGTCATATGAACTTTTTTATTTTGCGGCTTCGCTACCGAGATACATTTCTTCCAATACTAATAATTTTAATTTCTCCTAAATTACCTCAGTAATTTGGGTGAAATTTTGTGAAGTAGTGTGCAATATTATATATATATATTTCTAGAATCGAAAGCATATCCAAATAGGCAGAAAAAAAATTATCTGTTACCAAGATACATACATGGTTTTGTAATTTCTATGGCTCTGATAAGGACAAAACACAACTATTCTTCAAATAATGCTCTGGTAAAATATGATTACTCTTCTATACTACAAACATAATTATATCAATGTCAAATTTCTCTGATTTCAAGTAGATTCAAAAGTAGAAAGTGTTGAAGTTATTATACGGATCTTACCTAAAATATTCAAACGAATTTTTCACCAAAGGAATAGTCTGACAAAAAATTTTCAAGAGAGGTGTGACTTACGTAAAGTCATAACATCGATGTATGTTGGTTAAGGGGCATTTCGGGACACCTGATTCATATAAAGCCTTTCGTTTTTTCTACCTGCTTTAAACCCTAGAAATAGTAGCATTGTTTTCTGAGTCTGAGTTTTATACATTTTTTGTTTCAACCCCTTATTTGTTGCTAAAAATTGTTATAATGGAGATCGCCAAATTTGGATTGGTAGCCTTTTTTATTTAAGATTTTAACAATGCAATCGGGAAGTCTTTTCGAAGATCTATTCAGTGCGCCGGATTCCGAGGTTTTGATATTTCTACGTCTTAAAGCGCTCCACTGAGTTCTAAGATTAAGTTAAGAAGTACCACAAAACTGTCCACAAACCTTAGCATTAGTGATACTTATTATACTTGAAGACAGCTCACAGCCGTGAAAGCCACCTACAAAGTGATAACGTAACAGAAATTTAACCTAAAATCATTGATTAACCTATTCGCCAGAAAGATGCCCAATAATATGCTGCATTTTGACGTTCACGTAGAGGTTCCATCGCCACAGCCGTAGTTGCCTGTAGCAGTAATTATCCGTTTTCCTTTCAAAGGAAATTGTTTCCAACTTCCATTTCTCAAAATTTCTCAACGATTAAACAGGATATGGTGGGGTAACGGGCCGAGAGAGGACAACTAGGGTTTTTGAACCCGGGTACCTGGGTCAGTTATACCCCCGTATCCAAGAGCTTGTGGACCCGGGTAATACTTGTCGAAAAATCCGGGTAACCGGGTATCAATAAAATTTTATTTTTCTGCATAATAAACTACTGGCGCTTTAGAGAAAAGTTCATAAGTATATTTTTATGTAGAGAATCACTCAAGTAACCTATAAAAAGTTTGTCCGGCGAGAAAAAACAATTTTTGGAATTTGTTTATAAAAATTGTTTCAACGCGAAAACCCTAGTACACGGGTATTCTTATTTTTTTATACTTAAACCACCACGTAGGCCTAAAGTTTAAACATCCATGGGTACCGCAGGGCTACAGTGGGATACAGAAGAAGGGAGAGATGCCACACGGACTCTAGCGAGGGAACACTTGTGCATGCAACATGCAAACAATCGCCTTAGAGATCCGCCGGGTGGTACCTCCGCGTTCGGCAGTCAGAGTCCGTCTACCACCTAAGAACAATCACAGCATCCACAGCCAAGAGAAAAATTCTCTTGTGACGGGATTCGAACCCGCACAGCGCGCAGCGGCCTTGAGGAGAACCATAACGCCTACCAATACGCCACCGCCGCTAGCTTTGATACGTCTTGCTATCACACACCCCACAATAGAATATATTTAGAATTAGCGAATATGTTGATAGTTATAAATATTTTATATTCAATAAGTTTGTATTTTTTTGTTAAATCAAAATGTAAACTTTCCTACTATCAGACATGCCTTGGTTAGACACGGGGTTGGATCAATCCTAATAGATCTACTTTGGAGCGTCGGGTAGCAACAGCTATGCTGAATGACGTAAGCTGCAGCGTCAGCGTAGCTAGAGGCTGCCCTCAGGGTGGAATTCTGTCACACCTACTGTGGTGCATCGTGGTGAATGAACTCCTCGTTAGGCTCAGCAGTGTGGGTGTCTACGTGCAAGCCTATGCTGTTGACGTAAGCATAGTGATTAGGTGACATTTTGGTAGAACAGTCTCGGAAATTATGCAGGGCGCTCTGCGCTCTGTGAAATCGTGGTGTAGGGAAGTCGATCTTTCTGTTAATGCTGAAAAGACCGAGCTGATCCTGTTCACTAGGAGAATAAGGCTTTACGGGCTGGTCATGCCGACCTTCTTAATATCTGGGAATTATCCTGGATTGCAAACTGAACTGGAGGGAGCATGTTGAATACAAGGTTAGCAAGACTCGCAATTCAATGTGGGCCTATAGACGTGTAGTCGGTGTAAGGTGGGGGATTAAACCCAAAGTAGTATACTGGCTCTACACGACGATAGTACGTCCATCTCTCTTGTACGGCTCCCTGGTCTGGTGAGCGAGTCTTATATTGCAATGCAGGGAGGCTCTGGATTGCCTCGCAGCGAGGCATCCGGTATCGTTAATATGAGTACCGGGGCACGCTGGGATAAGGGTCAATGAGACGGCGGACACTCTGGCGAAGACAGGATCAGCGAGCAAGCTCGTTGGTCCTGAGCCAGCTCTAGGAGTGACCGTGCATAGAGCTAGGAGGAAAATGGAGACGTGGGTTGCAAGACAACACTCTCAGAATGGAGAAGTATCTCCAGACATCTACGCCAGGCACGGGAACTCATTGAAGGGCCCAGTGCTAAGGATGGACGCTTCTGCCTATCTCTGGGCAGAGCCAACCTAAGGTTGCTGGTGGGACTGTTGTCTGGCCATAACACATTAAGGCGCCACCTGCACGTGATGGGGTGGCTGAGGATCCCTTGTGTGAACGCTGCGGGGTAGAGGAAGAGACCTCGCCGCACGTTTTGTGTCGCTGTGAAGCTCTGAGCTACTATAGGCAAACTACACTGGGGTCCATTACTTTGGACCCTCACGACGTCAAGGAGCTTGGACTCAAGGCGATTCTCAACTTCGCTGAAAGGGCGAGGCTTGTGATCTAAGGAATGTAGAGGTACATAAGGGCCCGCTTAAGCGGCCTATGCACTGGCTCCTTATGTTGGCTGGAGTGCCTCTAATTTCAAGATTCATTCATTCATTCATTCATTCATTCCCACTAGACACCGTGTGTTAATCAACTCTAAAACAATGCAACCGCGTTTGACCGGGAATGTTTGTTGCTTGTACCCTCATAGGAAGGGTTTACATCACGCAATTAATTTGACGACTGAACCTCAAATTAATCTTCAGCTCAGGGCATAGGATAGTGACCATAATCCTTCGAGACTCGCGGCGTGTCAGCTCTTGGCAAATAGACGTTTTGATAAAAATGTTCAGCTTGTTTATGTAACAATGAAGTAAGACCAAATGGAAGAACTCAAAAAGGTTCTGGTGCATATTAGACCAAGTTGGGAATTTGAACAAAGGTGGTTATGATTATGATAATACGTACAGGATTTAGATCCATAAAATATGATTCAAGCTTCCAACTTCAGACTATGCAGAAAGGGATAAGTTAGTGTTAGTACAGCATGTGTAAGAGGTTAGACTTTAGGACAGACGGATGAAACGGTTTGATAAGAGCTCTAAATAAAAGACAAACGTATGTGACACAAACTCCCTACCTAGTTGCCTATCTAGTTTGTGAAATTGTAATTCTGACTTAGTTTTCAGTCAGCCTACATTAACTATTATAATGCTTATTTTGTTGTAATTTTTTTCTGCATGCAGTATAGTAAGAATAAAATATACTCTCTAATATCATACTAGGTTATGTTACTTTTGCCTCATTTCAGCAGGTATCCATATATTTCAGTGCTTCTTTTTCCCTGCTTCATGTACTGTTTTTCTAAGTTTTAACGGCGTACAATGTATGTATTGTAACCAATTTCGAAAATTTGAACATTTTTACATGTGAATATTTAACGAACTTAGTGTGGAGTTTTATGAAACATATGTGACACATGTCAATCCTGAGCGATTTCGAAACTCTTCCACGTCGCGCACTGCGCTTGATTTCACAGTCGCCACCACCCACTTCGCACATAGCGAATACTGTCTGAAAATCCTTTTGGCAGCAGTTAAACTTGCACTTAAGACGCTTCATGGCTTAAAATTAAATGTTTAAATCAACATTTTTTTAAAGTAACCTTCGTGCAGTTCCTACTTGTGTATGAATCATCTCCGAGTCTGGTAGACAGTGAACTTGAATGCGAAAAAAGTATAAATTGGATAAGCAGCATGAAATATCGGTATTCATGAAATTTGAAATGGCATTTTCTTATTTACTGTGTAATGAGATATGCTTATGATATCGTCATCAGGATATCAGGATTCCACGTGGCTGATTAATGAAGACATAAACGTTACGACTACCTCGAAAACCTTTTTTAAAGTATAAAGTTGAGTAAATTAAAATACAGTTTAACGTTCAACATTGGTACATTTGTGACTTTGTACTAATGTGATTTATTCTGGGGCTTCACTTGTTGCCAACGACAGTATAGAGATAGATCACAGAAACAACGACAGCCTACTTTTTATAAGTCACATTAAGGTTCGATTAAAATTCACACAAAATTTTGAATTCATTAAAAACTAGAACCTATTTCCAAAAAATGTGTGGTCGTTAAGTTTCCGGGGTATTCGGATATTTAATAAACACCCTGTATACTCAAGGCACTGTTATTGTAAATTTTGGATGAAGCTGTTCGTGAAATAATTCCAACATGGTCTATGATAAAAAACATTATATTTTCCCATTTCATTACAATTAGAAAGACATAGAAATGTTTAAGAAATTTGAAGGAAACCCACTGTCTATGAACATCTGTAGAGCAACAGAGGTTAAACAACATACTTTTCTCCGCATGACCTTACTCTATTCAAGGCCCAGATAAGACCTCGAGTATTGCTCTCACGTTTGGGGACCAGAGTAGGGCTGTCCGACTGATCGATGACTCTTCTCTAACCGACAGTCTCGGCACCCTTTCTCAACCAGCGGGCTGTCGGCGATCTACCTCTCTTTTACCACTACGCAGCACTAGGCAGCAGCGGTGGCCGCAGTAGTAGACTCTTTGGTCTCCTGATCAGTCGCCGTGCGCTGTGCGGGTTCGAATCCCGACCCTGGAGAAATTTTTCTCTTGGCTACGGATGTTGTGATTGTCCGTAGGTGGTAGACGGTCTCTGACTGTTGAACGCGGAGGTACCACCCGGAGGATCTCGTAGGCGGAGCCAGAATGTGTGCATGTTGCATGTACACGTGTTCCCTCGCCAGAATCCGTGTGGCGTTCCCCCTTTCCCCTGTATCCCCCAATGGCCCCACGGTACCTAATGGGTGTGTAGGCCTTAGGACTTCGTGGTAGTCGAAGTATAAAAAAACCTACATTAATGGGCTTTGCTCCTCAAAGCTGTCCTCCATGATGCCGCCGCGCGTTGTGCCTGCCAGACAGACCCACCTGACCTCGGCCTTCCATCCTAACCGTGTCGAACTTCGTACATCCAGAACTGGCCGATACGACCGCTCCTCTGTCCCGAGGGTGTCGAGATTGTGGAACAATCTACAAAAGGTGGCTTTTCCCAGTTCTACTAACCCTAGGCAGTTCAAAAATCGGATTAACAAAATTTCTTTAGGATCCTCATAGCGGTGTCATGACATTTTTGCTTCTGCCTGCCAGCGTGTAAGTTTAAAACATTATAGAGGTGGTACGTCTGACAATTATCTTTTTGAAAAAATATGTGAGCCTTCAATTATCAATCTGACGTCGCTTAGACGGATTAAGTTATTTTAATGAGTTCTAGGTTAGAATTTTTGAGTGGTGGGTCACAGAAAATACGAAACGGAATCACATTCTAGCCCTAACTATTGGCTTTTTCGTCTTTTTCTCAATGAATTTACATTTTCAACTTGTGGAAGAAAACCAACAGATACAACTTGTATGAATCTTTTTGGACCACTTATATTGGAACCATACTGAAGTTAGTGAAGAAATAGTTTATGAAATGTTGTTTACTTCTTAAAGAGCTTGAAAATAACATAAGAGTTGTCCGAAATGTCGACATGCGGTCGGTAGTTGGGAAGAAATTCTACCTCCATCTGGCATGCTTTAGACTTTTGGTTGTTATAGCGCTTGTGAGTACAATACACTTTATGGTAATTGTAGAATTACAGCCAAACAAGTTATCAGAGTCTTAACTGAACAAAAATAACCAAATACACATAGGTTGTTATCACCAACTAAACAAAGCAGGTGTTGAATTACGAAATAATAATGTAATTTTCTTCAATTCATGAGCAGCGATTTTCATTTGAAAATGTGTTTTTCACGGCAACATACTGATAATGTAATTGGCCAGTTGGGTGTAATAAACTGGCTATAAAATTTAACTAACTAGCTGAGGCTGTTCATATTCATATTTCAGCAAAGTATCACGTTGCACAGATATGAATATTGGTGCAGCTGAAAGTGTTTTGTCAGCATTACGTCGGAACAACAATACCGCGAGAGGTAAAAATTTGTACACTTATCAATTGATACTCGAGGAAGGTTATATGCATGGTTTCATTTGCAAACTCATCCTCGATTTTGTCTGTCGCGGCAAGTATCAGAATCTCCACTATCAGCGACAAGTTAGCAACAGCACCGCCTGACATCACCACACCCAACCTATGACCGTCAAGTGATACAGACGTTTTATTGAGCATTAGCTCTTACCCGCGACTCCATACACTAAAATCTGATACTAACATAGAATATTGTTTTCAAGTAACGCCATAAATTTTCGATCACGTTTTGTATCTTTGACACTGACATCTAAGTTGCATGCTTCGGGAATTTGGTTACTTTGTTGGTGGCGCCAACTACATCTTCCGTGGGGCAAAAAGCTAGTTATTAAATAAGATGCAAATTCAGCCCGTCATCCTGCCAATAAGACACCAGTTTTTGGTTGGTCATTTGCAGCGCGGCTGGTCGATCAGCCATAGACCAGTCAGTTTATGATAACAGGTAGATATAAATGTTTGCATATAATTGGTGTTTTTTTTGCTAGTATCTTTTTGGCAACACTGTTTTTGACAGATGACGCGTGAATCGTGTCTTGTGTCATTGTGAAACTTGTTCTATAATTTAACCATGAATAGACTTACGAACGACCAACGCTTGCAAATTATTGAATTTTACTATCAAAATTCATGCTCGGTTAAGAGAGCGCATCGAGCACTGCTTCCGATTTATGGGCAATTTGGTTGGCCTACTGAGGGAGCTACTCGGAGCTTGTGACTAAATTTCGAACCCAGTTTACATTATTGGACATTAAACCACCAACACGCAGACGTAGAGTGAGGACTGAAAAAAATATTGCGGCTGTATCCGCCCGTGTTAGTGATGACCGTAAAATGTCGATTCGCCGCCGTTCGCAGCAACTGGGCCTCTGTTACTCCACTACGTGGAAAATTTTGCGACAGGATTTGGGTGTAAAACCTTATAAGATACAGCTGGTGCAAGAATTGAAGCCACACGTCCTTCCACAACGTTTCCAATTTGGTGAATGGGCGCTGGCAAAGTTGGAGGAAGATCCACATTTTTATCGAAAAATTGTGTTCAGCGACGAAGCTCATTTCTGGTTGAATGGGTACGTTAACAAGCAAAATTGCCACATCTGGATTGAAGACCAGCCAGAAGCATTGCAAGAGCTACCAATGCATCTCGAAAAAATCACTGTTTGGTGTGGATTATGGGCCGGTGGCATCATCGGGCCGTACTTCTTCAAAGACGACAATGGTCGGAACGTAACTGTGAATGGCGAGCGCTACCGTGCGATGATAATAAACTTTTTTTGCCCAAAATGGAAGAGCTGGGCTTGGCTGACATGTGGTTTCAACAAGACGGTGCCACATGCCACACCGCACACGAAACAATGGCCCTATTGAGAGGCGAGTTCGGTGAACAGTTTATCTCACGTTTGGGGCCCGTCAATTGGCCGCCTAGATCGTGTGATTTAACGCCGTTGGACTATTTCTTGTGGGGCCATGTTAAGGCTAATGTCTACAGGGATAAACCAGCAACGATTGACGCACTGGAAGCCAATATTGAAGCATTTATTCGTGAGATACCGGCCGTTATGTTGGAGAGAGTGTGCCAAAATTGGACCTTGCGCATGGGCCATCTAAAGCGGAGCCGCGGAAAATATTTACATGAAATAATCTTTAAACATTAAATTATATCGACTCAAATGAAGATTTTATCGTTTTTTCAAATTTTTTGTGTTTTTTTTTCTGAAAATCAAATCCTATACCTCTTAAAAAATCACCCGTTATAAACGAAATATTATATCAAGCTTGGTAATGATGTAGAATGTCAAGCTGCACTGCCATTGTGATACAAAAGAATGACGCCAAACGGGTAGAGGTACTCTCAGGCAATCAATTCTTCATATGCAAATTGAAGTTAACTGCATTCAGGGAAATTTTAATCGTAGTTTTGAGATTAGTAAAACTCTTTAATGGTCGAAATGGTATTTTTGAGCTATAGAAGGTATTAAAATATTGCTATATTGGTGACGGCGGTATAAAAAAGGAGCTTAACATATTCCGACTACGGACATTATTAAGTGTGCAATGTTTTTTAGAAATAGAAGGATTTATATTTGTAAAAAAATGTAATTTGAATGCACATATTTCTAAGCACTTTTTGGAACTTGGTCGTCTCTTTTATATTGTCCAGCTTTTTTGATTCAACCTTTCAAACAGCATATTTTCTGAAATGGATACACTAGGCGATAGGAAGTATGTGAGCGTCTTGACATCATTCTTAATCAGTCACTTGATTCGCACTGAGCATAAACAGTGTGTTTCTAGTGTACTCTCCCAGCAGCTGACAGAACATCAAAATCCCTAGCTTTTGTTATTCTTCGTAGTATACCGAAAATTCAAATTTGAAACTTCTATCTGAGAGTACGGGAAAACTTAAATGTATAAATATATTGCGCTACGCTGTAGTACAATAAATATTATTTACACTGTATGTTATGAATATTAAATAAAGACAGAACAATGGATGCAGCAGTCCTAACGTTGCTTTGACTAATCTGCAATTTATAATTTGTCACTTGCTCAGTTGGTTCTATGTTGCTTCATATTATGCGATTCCAAGATCAACTGGAATGAGTTACGTAGTTGTACAGGAGTAGTTATGGCATTTTAAAGTAAACAAACATTTTTTATTGTTCACATTTTATTAGTTATTGGTATTACGCTAGTTTATTATCGTATTGTCGTACACGTTATAGGCTTTTTAAGACTAATTTCCAACTATTGTTTGCTCAAGTACGTGTTTTACGTATAGCAAAATGCGCCAGGTTATTTTGATATGGAATGACTTCGTCACTAGTTTTTTGTGAACGGCATATTTGAACCATTATTTGACATCTTCTAGAAACAAGCACCAGCTCAATATCAGATATCATGGGTACTCCCAAGAGTAGATAATAAGCCCAAAATAAATTTGACATATTTTCAGCAGTTTCACTATTTTATATTTTCCAACTAAGGTCAAAAAAAAATTAAAAATTCGACATACATTGTAAAACTGCTACAGGAATTAAAAACCAAACTGCCATGGGACTTCTACAATCTTTTGGTTTACTGCAATAATGAAGCTACAAGAATAATAACAAATGGACCGACAGAAAACGCTTTCAAAAAATCTTGTAGGTTGAGGGTATCCAAATGTTTGGCTGTGCCCTGAAAGGCCTGCCTTTTTCATATACCATTCCACAAAAATTAAGTTCGTTTTTCTTAAAAAGGCATTACCGAAATCAAATGCTTAAAACGCCTAACGTTTAAACTATCATTTCAAGTACGCTAAATGTAGTGTGTTAAAGTTTGTTGTTTAATAAAATGCAGCTTGCGTCAGTGATGCAATAATGTTTCATTTTGTAGTCAAACTAAGTAATAAATTTTACTACGTAATCCCGAGCACACTTTTCTGAAATTAATTGATATCAACAAGCTCACTTGTAGTGGTATTTCAAGCTTTTTGAGCAGCCTGTGGACTATTCTAAGTAATTTGTGGTTTTTATTCGGCTTATCCTTTAGTGTGGTGGTGCCATTTTTGTTATTAAGTAAACTTCCCAAAACAGGATCGACATTGATGGTGCTTGGTAAAATATGTTTACATCTCGTACATTGATGCCATGTATTTCCTTATTGTTAAGTCTAAAAAAGAAAAACGACAGATGCCATGTACATATCTGGTTATTATGTCCAGCTTTTTCAAATTCATTGCCCATTTTGCAAATGATAGGAGATGTCAAGTTTTGCCACTTCTCACGTTTTACTAGAATTTGTATGTTTCATAAAATTATCATC